AACACTCTTCAAGTCCTAGATTTATGGAGCAGTTTGATGTCTACTGGAAAAGCAACAGATAGGAGATGGAAAGTTTTAGTGAAGAAATCCTTAGCTGCAGTTTTAATGATAAATGAAAATGATAAATTTTTGTTGAAGCTAATAAAAGGGATGGACTTGCTTAGTAGCGCTTGCTTACGGAGCAAATAATAAAGCTCCGGTAGTACAAAAAATGGAAAAACTAATCTAGATTTTGGCACAGCACGAGCAATCGTTTGATCAAAATCAACTGAAAGTACGAAAGCTATATTCGGCGGAGTCCGAATCTCTCATACCAACCGCTATTTGATACTAATATCGCTGACACTATTAAAAAAAAATTAATCCAATGTTCAAAACAGTTTTAAACATTCTGTTTTGTTCGCGTTATGATAAATAAGCATAAAACCTCAAAAAAGTGAAAAAAGGATAATTTAATCACTTGTAACTTTGTGCGGTCATGGCCGCTCCTTTCCATTTTTGCACGTAAATGGTAACCTGCTTCGTAAAGTAAATGTGCAAAATTTTAGCCTTCTAACTTTAGTAAGTAACGAGTAAAAATCCACAAATTTTTGCTAAGAAAAACGGAGTTACGTTCAGTTTATGCTCCACTGCAGAATTCTGTTCTGACCAATTTAGCCCATTTGCAATACAAATCTGCTTGCAAAAACTTTCAGCGTTTCTACCAGATTTGAAGTCGATATCTTAGTTTTTGCGAGTGGCAACAACAAACACCACACAGACGGACAGACATGGCTATATCTGTTCAGAAATTCATATTGATCACTCTTTAGGGTCTCTGAAGCTTCCTTTTGGGTGTTACATACAATACGGAAAAAGCCCAATTAGGTATATCTCCATCTTACAGTAGATTTGGTCAAAAGTATATCTAAATTGACAATATATTGTTATGGAAATCCCAAATCCTGTTCATTCCAGCTAAGTAATAAAATCCCTAAAGAGGGAAAAACTAAATGTAAAATTGCAGCATGCAGCTGCCGGCCAAGGAAAACGAGTACCAGAAAAACAGGTTAACGAATTAAAAATAAAACTATTAAATTAGGTACTAGTAATATGATGGTAAAAATGTATACTAATACAATATTTGTGAAAGGCAGAGGTAATAGAAAAAGAATATTTGAGTTAAGCAGTCGAAAGTATTGCCAAAAATAAATTGTGAGTAACCTTACATTTAAAGAAATATAATTGTAAATAGAAGAACTTTAAAGTGTAGTTTTCTTGAACAAAATATCCACGATCCAGTGATACGGACTGTATCTTACATAAGCGAATTTTATAACAATTGGTGTCAGAAGTGAGATCGTGGAAAGCAAGGGAAATGGTGAAATTAGAAGAACTCAAAGTGGATCAGCTCAAACAGGAGCTGAGAAAAAGAAACCTTCGCACGGTCGGTAGCAAAGCTGAATTAACACAAACAGCTAGAAAAAGACGGACAGGACCCGTCCTTACTTGAATTCAAATATAATATCGAGGGAAGGGAGCAAGCCGACAATTTGGGAGGAACTGAAAATGCAGCTACAGCAGAAGAAAAACACAGCGAAGAAAAAAGCGAAGACGGTCCGAGCATGTCAAGCGTTATGCGGTTTTTACAACAAATGGAACAACAAACGCAACAACAAACGGAACAAGAAACGCAAAAACAAACGGGACAACAATCGCAATAAATGCACACAACGAACGGAACAGATAGAATCAAAAATTGACGAGAAAATACAGGAAAATCTACGCATCCTGCGAACACATATAGACGAAACATACCAGCAATTGGAAGCCAGAATAAATGCCCAGGAAGAAGATGCAGACGCTGTGAAAAGTGAAATAAAAGCCTTAAAAAAATAAGTGGCTAAGCTACAAACTAATGACGTAACCACCAGCTCTATCAAAGTAAAAACATCCCTATTTGAGGGTAGCAGTAACTTCAACGCATTCAAGCTACAATTTGATGTTGTTGCAACAAAAAATATATGAGATGATGACGCAAGCAGTCGCTTTAATAACCTCCTTGAGAGGAGCAGCAGCGGAAATTATCCAGATAATCCCGGAAGAAAAAAGAATGGAGTTCGCGGAAATTATGGATGCATTGGAAAGGAAATATGGTAGCAAACATGTGAAGGAGGTAAGCCACCTAGAGTTGCCTTCGCGCTGTCAGGAACTGAACGAAAAGATCCAAGATTATGCCATCGAGATCGAACGCCTAGCCAATATCGCATATATCGGTGTGCCCAACGACGTGCTGAAAAGATTAAAAATCGACGCCTTTGTTAAAGGACTTCGTGACGCGGAACTCAAAAAGTTGCATGGACGTTACCTAAAACGACGTTTACGGAAACGCTTTGCTTCGCGCTTACATAAGAAGCAGCTAGTGTGCTGTGGACGTGAAGCATGAAGGTGAAATGCACGGAAGTAAAGATTTCAAGCAATACCTAAAAAATCTGGCAGTTGTTTTTCACCGATTACGGCAGCAGGTTTAAAATTGAGTATCGAAAAATGTACGTTCTTTGGGAAGGAAGTGACATATCTTGGGCACAAGGTCTCCACGACTGGAATTCACATGGATAAAGAGAAAATCAGAGCAGTAAAAGAATGTCCACGACCAAACAATTTGCATAAAGTACGCAGTCTCCTAGGACTATGTACACACTACCGCAGATTCGTCCCCAGGTTCGCCACGGTTGCTACTGGACTGCATGACCTTACTAAGGAAAATCGACCTTCTACGTGGGAGGAGTCCCAAGAGCACGCGTTCACACAATTAAAAGAGCTGCTGTGCGCAGCACCCATTTTAGCTTATCCAGTACGAGGAGAAAAATTATATTGGATACCGATGCAAGCGCAGAAGGCTTGAGCAGTGTGCTCTCCCAGCAAATTGAAGCTAACGAAAAGGTCATAGCATATTAAAACAAAAACAAAATAGTCCCGATCCTGTGATACGGACCGTATGTTACAAAAGCGAATTATATAACAATGTGTTATATTCTTTAGCATATGGTTTTCGCACAAAGCAGTTTCATTTATCCTTTTTTGAAAATATTAAAAAGAATCTTAGAACTTATTTATACAGATTAGTACGGTCTGCTCAATACAGAATTATTAAGCCACATGTGGCTAAAACTTGAAGTCAAACCGAAGTGACTTTATCTTACAAATTTTATTAAAATTACACAATGTTTAAAAAGAAACAAATTTAATAAGATAAATTTAAAATTTTCTTTCCAAGTCAAAATGAGATGAAATGAAATTGTTTGGAAACAAATACATTTGATTTGATGTATTAATGGAACCAATAAGGTTATCAAGAAAATATTAGGATCTTGCCTGCAGAGGCTAATTACTTATGTCAAAATCGTGCGGAACTGCATAGGGTGCTTTGTTTGGATGGCCAGATATTGGAAGTGAGCAAAATGAGAATCCTCATGGTGGCCAACAAAGTACGTATATCATCAGCAACGTTGTGACCACCAAAGTCCATCGTTTAGATCACACACTTTGGTTCTCATTTCTCCTCTACTGATACATAATGCTGAACTACAGTTTCGCTGAGAGCATAATATTACACCAAGTGCCGCATATACAATAACTGCTGGAATCAGCACAATATAATTCAAACAAACAAAAAACTCAATTTAACTTTTGTGTTTGCATCGCCAAGCTTGTGTTGGCATATGAACGCAAAAATCAAGATTTTTATTCAACTCCGACAGTGACGTTGTTTTGCCGGATATATTTTAGCACAGTAAAGAGTGACGGTCTTGGCGGTAAACAGCCGAGTAGCTTAGGATTATTTTACGTACTTGTCAATATGGCAAAGGATTCATAGGGAATCATTTGTAATCTCGCGTAAGTTTACTAAAACCTTTCTTTGTTTTATGTGTTTCCTACATACTTTACATGGCGATCCTGCCCACCATGATCCTTTCTAAAACCATAATACTGGTTATAACCTTCTTTTACCTTCGTGTCGGTGTCAAATTCCTGATGACACACATTATATTTTACCTCATCTTAGTGTTACTTGTTTCGTTTTGAAAACGCGTTAAAAAGAAGACCATAGAAGAACAACAGAAACGTCAGGAAAGAAAAAGGAAAGTAGAGGCTATCTACGTACCTAAGCAAAAAGTACGAAGATGAACATTAATTGAAAACCGAAAAATATTGAGCTTCTTGAAACCTAATGTCCACTAACCTATCCCCTGCAATACCGCATAGAATTACCATAGAAATCGACAATTTAAAGGTGGTTCCAAGAAAGAAAGGATAATATCTCAACTATCTATATAAAAGACAATTTCATATATTTAATAATGGCTATTGGCATATAGGCCTAAAAATGTCTAAATGTTTCAAAAGATAGGTAGCAAAGAAAGTGACTTCCAATACAAACATTTAAAGTGAAATATATATATATATATAAAACGAATATATCATATATAAAGCAAACCTACATTTATATGTTACTAATAATAATCGCATTCATAATACATAAAATAAACCCTCATGTAAAAGAAATATATAAATAAAAAACAAAATACAATAAATATCATGACAACGTGAAACTAATTCCTTGAATCGTCCGAGAAGGAAAGAATAGACGAAGTAAATATTTCAATAGAAAGATTAACAATTAATATAAGAAAGGTAAAAAAACTTATACTTACAAGTCTATAGCAAATAAATTAGAGGAGATAGAAAGCTACAAAGATAGAGTCAATGTAATGAAGGAAGGAACAAAATCATTAGTCATTAAGGGACTACTCAGCAAGATACTAATATTTTAGGAAAAGTACAGTACAAAGAACTACTAGAAAAAGAAACCAAAACAAACGGATAAAACAGGAGAATTATCGGAAAAAGGACAATTAACAACAAGTAAGATAAAACCAATGAAGAAAATTGCCGTCGCCAAAAAGTAAATTTCTATTTCCATATATTTAGAAATGAAACAAAAGC